TACGAAATTTAGTGTCATTTATTAAGTGTCAGTACAAAATTTGAGTATATCTTTATATGAATTGTTACAATATGTTTTTGTTCAAGGAAAACACTCTTGATGATTCATATAAATGAATGTATTAAGGTAAAAAATAATATAAATAAGTTAGGGATTTTAGAGTTACATGGTTGCCGGTGTTCGTCAGGACAGTAGTGTCGTCGGAGAGGGTAGAATAATTGGTGGTGACTTGTGATCGAAGGACCACCGTGTATGGTGGTCGGTCTTCGGGTTGGTTCTCGCTTGAAGAGAGACATGGCATGGGTCGTGATGCTGTCCTCGTGTGTTCCCTAAGCCTTATAGGTCACCGATTGGAAGAGAATTGCCACCCATATAGGGTGACCGAGGCGCTGTTGACTCCGGCTAGTCGAAGGGTCGGCTACCGTGGGGTGGTGAGCGAAGAAAAAGGGGCGAGTTAGATGGATGTTAGGGATTTGAAGTAATCGGGCTAATGAAACAAAAAAGAAGAAGAATATATTATATTTAGGAATTTTGGGAAAACCACGATAAGGTCCTTGAACCTTTAGCGTGTTTTGTGTTTCAGTCACCAAATAGTGAGTTTATTACGTATATATCCCCTAAATTTAAGTGTCCTATTGTATTCTGGTCACTAAATTAAGGTATAATCACGTTTCAGCCCTCATATTTCTAGCACTTTTTGCATATTAATCATCGGTTAAACTCTCTTTAGGTACTCCTATCTTTGCCTTAATTTTACATTTAAAGTCCCTAATTTTATCTTTTATTTATTTGCACTGATTTAAGTTGTATGTTTTGTTTCATGTTATTATGGTCACTTGTTGTATATTATTTATTTATTTCGAATTGTTCTGTTAATTTGTATTAGTTTTATTTAGGTCACTGTTAAAGTTATATTTTACTTGTTATCTTTATGTTGTTATGTATTTCACATTTAACATATAATTTGTAAGGTGTATATTTTAGTCAATAGTAAAAATCACCTTTGTTTTTTTATTTTATCATTTAAGCCCATTTTTTTGTATGATATTTTGTTTTAACTCTTATGTCCTTGGATATAAAATAAATATAGTGTTTTAGTTCGTTATTTATATTTTAGCCCCTTTATTTTTATTTTACTTTAATAGGGCATGTTATACTTAGTTTCATTTTAATCATTAATGTATTTTAATCTTTTGTATTAGTTAGATGCAATTTCTTTTCACTTTGCCATATATATGTTTATATTTGTTTAGTGATATTTGTATGTAAATCATATATTGTTATGAAAATAAATTTATTTACTAAGTACCCTTAATGTTTGTATACACGTGTATATTTAATCTTAGTCCATTTATTAATTTATTTGTTGTTTTCAATTTATAAGATATCCACTAGTCAGTATTTTCTTCAAATATTTTCAAGAACAACGATTTATAGAATGGGCGTGAAAAGCATCGCTTGATCGAAGTGGTGTAATCTGATACGACGTTCGAATAAATGTGAACTTGAAATAAAATTGATTTTATTTTGCTAATTAATTCTTTTTATTTTAAGTTAAACAATGCGATGCATGTTACTAAATAGCGATATATTTTATTCGAAGATCGATTTTCATTTTATATTTGATTCACGTTTTTAATATCAACTAGGGGGAATATTCTTTAACTGATAAGAAATATTCGAGTTAGCTTTCCCGATGGAGGACTGCTAATTTTGAGATTTTTTTTGAGTTAAAGAATTTTCTCTAATTATTTAATTCGAAACAAATTAATCAATGTTCGATAAATAGATCATATTTTAACTTTATATTCGATTTGTGATTTCCACCATTACGACAACGTGTAAACGACACAGTACCAATTTTGGGTGTTGTGGGGGTGCTAATCATTCCCTACATGTAACCAACTCTCGAACTTGTTTTAATCAAATCTTTGGTAAACGCATATCAGTTTTTGTCTTAAAAACGATTTTTCTTAAAATTGTTTTTAAAAAGACGTTTTTAGGTATTCGACCTACCTAACCCAAAGGTCGATGGCGACTCTATCCAATTTCATACAAATTAATTCAAAATCACTCAATTTTTCTAAAATAAAATCATAACTATTTTTAAAACAATAAATAATTGTTCCACCTGAAAACGGTTATAACAGTTGGTAACTTAGTATTAACCTTGCATCTATTGGATTTGGAGGAATGAGGTGAATGATCTAACAGCTATTCTCTAAACCTGTAATATGGACCTTTTAATCATTTACAGATTGCTGTTTTGAGTTATCGAGCACTCAGTCTTCATCAAATTGAATCAAACTATTTTTCCGTTGTAATATATGAACTTCTCTTTCTCAGGTTCTGGTGCAAATGGAAAGCTTGTTATGCAAGCAAAAGAGCAATAAACACAAGTTTTCAAACTTAAATGGCAAGCTGTTCGTTGCCCTCGAATGTATATGACAAGTCATGTTTCGATTTTCGTATTCAGACTTCAAAAACATAACCGGAGCAATTCTGAGAGAGTCCATTTCTGGCTAATATCTTCTGCAGAAACATTAATTTGTAGATTAATTTCAATAATCTTTTATAATAATTTGTATAAAACGTGAATGCACTTGGGAGACACTCATCAAGTGTACAACATTTACTGCATAGAGAATTGATATTTCCATGGATCACTTCAATGAAATGGATTTGAGTTACCCAGCACTTGAAATTTCTCATTTTGGACGTGCGTATGAAATTTCCCATAACCAAAGTTCCTTACAACACAAAACGACACCAGCATGGATCTTCCAGGAACTTTGCAATGCATTTGGAACCAAAGTTCCCTCTAGATATAAGCGTTTCTTATCGGATTGCAAACTTGCTTTCTCTGGTAAATCGCTTACATCTCCGTTGAACGTACAAGGTCTTCTTTTCGAGCTGTATTTTGATTTACTGGTAATTTTATATGTGATTTCAAGGAGTTTATAACTATGAATATTGTATGTTGTAATGCTTCTCGCAGGTAATCTTAATGCTGGATCACTTCTACTTGATCGATTCGATGACTTCCAACGATGCTCCCAAGAAAAGAAGCTTTTGGGGCTGCAAAACTACTTTGCTAGCTGCGAAATGTGCTCCTCCGGATAGCCTCCGTTCCGAGATCTTGATCTCAAGCGGCTCCACATATACTTCGGTGTCTATTTGACCGTTGGAACTATAAGCTTTTATGCAATAGAGGACGACATCAGAGGGCATAAAACAAATGATTTCGTCGATTCACTTTACTATTGTATCACCACAATGACCACGGTTGGTTATGGAGACCTTGTCCCTCACACTTTCGATGCACAAATACTATCGAGCATTTTCATAACTGTCGGGATGTTTCTGTTCGGAATAGCAGTGAAGATAGCCGCAAAGTACTTGGTCGTGAAGCAACAGATGGTGATGGTTAATGCTCTGCGCACAGCTCAAAAAATTGGTCCGGTGGAAGCACATAGGGAGATTGACGGCCTCAAAATAGACTACAATAAGGTCAAGAAATCGTTGATGGTTATGGGGGGACATTTCGTCCTCGGGGTCTTTGTTCTGCTGACCATTGAAGGAATGGACTTCTTCGACAGCATCTACTGCGCAATTACCACCATGTCAACCACAGGCTTTGGAGGCGAGAGCTTCCAAAGCACATTCGGCCGCATGTTTGCCATATTTTGGGTATCGACTGGAACGACCAGCGTAGGCCAGCTATTTCTCTACATTGCAAAGGTATTACCGATGTGGAAAGAAGGAAGTTGGCAAAGCGGGTCATTGCTAGCAACATTACAGCCAAGAAATACCTGGAGGCAGTCGAGGATGGCAACGCTTACGGGTAAGATTTTACTTAATTTTCCGAACCATTTCCCGTAAAATCGCTTCGATAACACGATTAAACCTTGTTGAACTCATTTGACAGGGCCGCTGATATGATCTTATATAAGCTAAAAGAGATGGGAAAGATCAAGGAAGATGATGTTTCGGTTGCCATGAAGGATCTTGATGATGTGATCAAAGATGTTAATGTTGATGATATGAGTGGTCCAGCAAAATCAACCCAAGAGAAGTGATCAAAATGGCATCAGAAACCATGAAAATGTCACATTACACCGTACAGTAATTTAGATCGCCATTCACCAATTTTACCATAATTTTCAACCTTCTTGTGACGGGGGATGTTGTGAAAACTGCATGCCATTTGAGATTACGTTTCGAAGTAATTGTATTGGAATAAATAATACTGAAATACAATCCAAACTCTTTTTCCCTTCCCCTCGAATTCGGTAGTCGCATAAACATTAAACTTTAAAACGTAAATTTCAATTTATTTATTTTTCAATTAAAACAATAAACAGGTTAACTATTAATAATGATGACCGAAATGTGAATGTATGAATGTCGACCAATAATTTAATAATTTCAGTCTTTTTCTATTTTGAAATAATTCAAATAGTCTAATAAAATATATATTAAAATTAAAAGGTTTTAAAATTTATTTATCGTGAGATTGGGTTAGAAAGAAAACATTGTGAGATTGGGGATCAAAGTCCTTGTGAGGCAGGACCCATGATGATGACCAACCAAGCCTAAACATGAAAGGCTGAATTATTGGGGACCCAAAACTTCGAATTTTCTGGTAGCCATCAACAACTAGGTGACCCACGACCCCATCAAAACGTACCCAACATAAAAAAGAACAGGATATAGTATAATCATTTGTGCTCCTCCTGGCCCCACGTGAAAGCATCAGCGTCCCAGATTAAACGTGATGGGAATATTAGCGTACACCTACGCGTACCTTAATGCTTTTCTTCTTAAATAAAATCATTACCCTAATGTTAAATCGAGTTTAAGAATATTGATTTTTTTTAATTAGTTAATGTTAAACCGAGTTTAAGAATATTGAATTGATCGATCTCAATGATCTGAACTTATAAAAGAAATCAATACTTTAAGTGAAGAACAAAAAGAAATACAGAAACTAGTAAGTAGTAATTCATTCATTCACTATTACTGTCCTCCCAAAATTAACAGTTAGTAGAAAAGAGAAAAGCAAAGGAAACGGGAGAAGTTACAAAGCAAAGAGAGTTAGAGATTACACCGTAAAGAGTCGAAACTTCTGCTACTCAGGCTTATAAGTGTCGACAGTGAGTTGAGTTGGTTGACCGGCAACGTAGTCAAGGAGGACTTCACCTGCCTTATCCGCCGGATCGGAATCGGACGCGGCGGTATGAGCGGAGGTTTTCCCAAAGAAGATGACGGCAAAAAGGAAGAGGGCGGTGGAGAGCAAAAGAGGCCAAAAGTATGTTAAAATGGTGAGGAAAGAAGGTGCGAAAAGGATGAGGACTGAAAGGGTAAGTGAAAGAGTGAGTGCTAAGATTATGGGGTACTTCAGCTTTACCAGTTTTTCTGGTATCTCCATGGTTTTGAAAGAAATGGTGGAATATTGCAACTTTAGGGAGAAGAGGAAGTGATAAATTCTCTTGGGAAGTATACTGATTTTTCTCTTAAGAAAAGTAAAAACTAAATAATTTTTGTTGTCTACACAACGGTGTGAAAAGGCAAGGTATTTGGGGCCGTTGGATTAGAGAAGGGGGAAAACCAAAAGATCGAAGTCGTTGGTAGTAAACAAAAGAGGAAAATTAGAAACCGGTTATTACGGGTAACCAGTTAGGGGGAGAGAGAGAGAGAGAGGATGAGAGTAGGATGGCAAACGGGTGGGTCGGGTGCGGATAACCCTTCTCCCATCCCCATATCCACCTAATATTTTTCAATCCACCACCCGTCCACCACCCATAATTGGTACAAATTTTCAAATCCACACCCGCCCAAGCGGGTACATTTTCAAATTCATCCCCACACCCACTACCCATTAGCGACATACTCATCTAGACCCGCCTGACAGCAAACTAATGGGATGTTGGAGTTGGTTCCCAGATAGTTCGTGATGGGGTAGCAACGCATGCTTCAATTTGTCAGAGGAGTGGCTCTACGAATGTTATAGAGACAGATTGTAGGGAGCATGTAGTTATAGATCTGGATTGTTGAGTTGCTTTCGATGTTAATGCTCATAGTGCACCTAATATGGGTTTTGAGGGGCTAAAGAATATGGAAACTGTTGCTTTTGATGTTAATGCATATAGTACGGTTAATTTGTGTTTGGATGAGCAGTATGGGCTAAAGAACATGGAAAGTGACGTGGTTAGTGGGATTATGGGTTTAATCAAAGAGCCGAATATTTCCCTAATTAAATACCAGATTAAAGACTAAATATCCTTAATATTTGGTTAAATTATATGTTATATATTATACAATATTAAAATTTATAAATTAGTCTCTAAAATTACACCTAAATTCATAATGGTCCAAAATTTAATAGATATTTAGCTGGGCGGGCGGATGTGGGGCGGGCGGATGCGGGGCAGGTAATGTCTCAAACCCATTACCCGCCCACCACCCACGACAGGTACCACTTTATAAATCCACACCCGCATACTACCCGCTAAAATTATACCCATCCCCGCTCTAATTGGAGCGGATACGGTGTGGAATCCACGAAATTGTACCCGTTTGCCATCCCTAGATGAGAGATTGAAGTGCGTAAGATGAGTTTAGCATAAATGGTCCCTAAACTTTTATAGTACTTTCACTTGATTCACTAAACTTTTAAAACTTGTAAGTCATTGCCATTACTACTTTTATCGTCAATTATCATTAAGAAAAGCTATCGTGACACGTTAAAGTCTTTTTCTTTAAAAAACCTCAAAATCTTTTTTGGAAATAGTAATCATTGGCTTCATTTGTAAACGTCGTCGTTGTTTGACATTCTTCTTATTATCGTCGCCACTAAACATGATGAAGACATTAGTTTTATATTTCATTTGTTTCATTTATTATTATTATTATTATTATTATTATATTATATTTATTAAATAATTAATTAATTTTAATTCATTGCAGGCCCAAAACCATAGGCCCGATTACAAACTAGACTGGCCCAAACAGACTGGCTCAAACTTAATAACAAATCCTAAACCCTCTTAGGGTTTTAGCATCATCTCTCAGCCGTCTTTCTTCTCAACCGTTGGATCTGGCCTTGATCCAACGGTCCCCAGATGTGCCAGAAGAAACCCTAGGGTTATGATACCCTAGGGCTACGTTGTTGTTTCCTCTTTCACGCCATTGCCAGGTGCTTCAACCACGACGCTGCCACCCTCGTTGAAGATTCCAGCGGCTGCCACGACCTCTCCACACGTCAATGCCCAAGGGGTGAGTCACCACAAGTTCGGTGACTCACCGAAAACTTCCCTTTGGACCGGTTTGAAGAGGATACCGGTAATGACTATAAAGCCTCACCATATCCTGCAAAAGAGAAGAGAAGAGAGGAACCGAGAGATACCGAGCAAAACGAAAAAAAAGCCAAACACAGAGAACATCAACAGAGAGAGGAACCCAAGAGCAAGCAAACAACCAACAGAGCATAACGAACAACCACCAACAACAAAAATAAAAGAGAAGAGAAGAGAGGAACTTACTCTGTCGCTGGAGAGCTCCAAACGTCGCCAGAGAACCAAAACGTCGAAGGTGAAAATCGTAGATTTACGATATATTATGGGGTTTTATGTTAAAATAACTTAGATCGGGCCTTAGGACGCCCTCTTCATTTTAGAGAGAAGTCAGAGCTTCTCTCTCATAGAGAGAGAAGATAAAATGGAGAAATGAAAGAAATGGCTCAAGGGAGCCGGTTTTTAGGCTATTTATACCCTCATCAAAACGACGTCGTTTTGATGAGGGATCTGGGTATAATTTCAAAATAGTTAAAATACACGCGCAGTCACCAGAAGTTTATAAACTTCTATTTTAGTCACTAAAATCAACTTATATATCTTTTTAAATTGGTGTTTTAATTTTATTTTATTTATATTTTCGCCACTGATTATATGTTTATGTATATATTTAAAATTAAGGATTAATTATATTATTAATATACATATTATATTAATATTTTGAATTATAAGTTGTAAGTTTTAATATTTTACATTTTAATCCCGTATATATTATTAAGGCTAAAATACACTGTAGGCCTCTGGATTTTATGATATTTTGAAGTAGAGTACTAAGTTTAAATATTCTACATTTTAACACTATATTTTTAATTTATTTTATTTTAATCATTATTTATTACAATATTATTACTTTTATATTTCAATTATTGCTTTAATTATTATTTATTATATCTTAGTCATAAAATATATATAATAAATAATATTTATTTATTTGTTTTATTTGTTTTCTATGAAATAAAAAATCCTATTTATGAACTAGATATGTTAAATTTTATTTTATTATTATGTTTTAGTTATTTATTTATTTTTAAATATTGAAGGAAAGAGCTGTCTTAAAACAACTAGAAGCCATTTTCTAATATTTTTAAATAAATAAATATCTTACTATATTAAAATAATTTTTTATTATTATTATTTATTTTTTAATATCAAAAGAAAGAGTTGTCTTAAAGTACCTAGAAGCCCTTTCTGATATTTCTAAATAAATAAATATGTTATTTAAATATAATAATATATATATATATATATTCTTTAAATTATAAATAACATGATTATAAATTAAATATATCTTTGAATTTTTAATAATAGAGACAATTTATAATTAATAAGTACCAAATTTGGGCGTTGTGGGGGTGTTAATCATTCCCCAAACGTAATCGACCATCCCTTTTTATTATTAAAAAATGAATCTTTGGTTAAAAAGCATGTCAGTTTATCTTTTAACTAATGTTTTCTTAAAAACTCTTTTAAAATATAATTTTTAGGTATTTGACCTACCTGATCCAAAAGGTCAATGGTGACTCCCAAAATATTTATAAAAAATCAAAATCATTTATTTATTTGTGTTATTTTTTTCCGCCAAGTTAAAAATTCCGTGCCCGGGCGAAAATCGGTTACGACAGCTTGGCGACTCCGCTGGGGACTGGTCAAGCTTTTAAAATCAATTATAAATTGTCTCTATTAATTATAAATTAAAAATTCATATATTTAATTTATAATTCTTTCTTTTCAAAATTTTTATATATACTTATTATTTTCATAGTATTTATATATATTATTTTATTAATATTTCATTTTATTTGCAAGTATTTTATTTCATTATTTATTTTTTTGTCAGAGGTTTGAACATTTCTCCTCACACACAACACTTGTATTGCATAACATAAAGCTCTATAATTGAGTTTGTCCCTTTTAAGTGGGAGTGAAAGCGACGTCTTCGTGAGAATTTATTCTCTGTGTCAGACCTAGCAAGTAACTTTCAGGGTTCAGATGCTCTATGTTTTCGTGAGAATTTATTCTCCGTGTCAGACATAAAGAAATGTGTCCCTCGAATTGAACTCGGTCTGCTTAAGTCTGTAATGGACTAGGATTGAGGGTTGACAGCCCAAGAGGGCATCAACAAGGACAGTTCGAGTACCTTTACTCCTAGAACTAAAAACCTGCATATAATAAACCCTAGAAATTCTCCTAATCTAAGACAATACTGAAACCATGTCAATAGGTGTACACAAAGGAGAAATAAGCTCTAGCTTTTAATTTATTATTTTTCTCTCTGAATAAATGCATGCGAACTAGTAATCATGATGTTAGGTTAATTTTTCCAAACAAAGCATGGAACTAGAAAGCATGAGGTTAGGATATATTATATACCATGATAGGTAGAATATTTTCTTTTCATTAATTGGTACTTACCAATTTATTTATTTCCTTTCTCATTTTTATTTTTCATACATTTTGTTTTATTTTAACTTGTTTATATTGATTTCTTTTATTTTGTGCTTGCATTACATGATCATGGCATAACCAAAGGTGTTGACTTAAAAGACTGTTCATCAAATTGGAAAGAAATCGTAAATGGACAAAAAGTTTTATGATCAACAAATATGATGCGGCCAAGGAAAGACATCCTGAAGAAACTACGAGGATCGAGGGAAGTTTGTACATAGAGAACCGGTATATTAATACCAAAAGTATTACACAAATATCCTACCAGATTGATACCAAAAGCAGTCTATGGTAAGAACAACAGTCAGGGTATTCAGAGTAGTGGAGGTTTTTATGAAGCTCAAGCATGTTATTTGAAGGACTTGAACGACCAAACAAGAAATTGAGCACAGAAATGAAAACCATGCATGAAGATTTTCAGAAGATCAGTCAAGCATTTCAAAATGCTGGCCTAGGAAGTACCCCAGAAGAGTGGATCACAGGGGTCACCAAGCTGAAAAAGAACTGCAACATATATGAAGATCTTGTTCAAGAACTTCTTGGACAGAAAGGATCTCTTACAAGGGAAAATGAGCAACTCCGAAAAGTGACACAGAAGATGAAAGAGAATCTCATGGAAGAAGTTGTAGTCCAGACAAGCAATATGGTTCTTAAATGATAGATTTAGCTGACTTTAC